ATAAACTCAATTAAAATGAAGTAACACATTTCAAATATTTTTAGCATCGCTTAGACGAAACCGCTAAATGTATTCTCCGCAGGGTCCACTTAGACAATTTAAAAAGTTTAATCAATGACTTCCTTTATCCTCCATTTTATAGTTTATACACACCGCATACATATATAAGTATGGTTTAATTAATATTGATTGGCAATGTCCTGATATTTCAGAATTTTCAGATTTTCATAATAATTTAAATACATGTGTGTATACAGTAGAGCTTCGCATAAATGCGAAATCGTTTCCTTTCCAATTATCTTCATCACTGAAAACAAATTTTGCTAAGGCGTTAAGGTGTTTAAAAGAGAGGTAACCGCAGAATGCGCATTGATCTTAAACATTGTTTTGTGTAAGGTACGCTAAGGTAAGTACAAGGGTGTAAGTGTAAATAATAAAATAATACCCTTAAGGGGATAGATTGCAGTTAAATACTAGCCTCTGCAAACTTTTACCGCAGAACCACAACATTTTATAGCGATCTAAAAGCCATAGGTAAATGCGGCAGTATCCGAACAGGAGCGAGGAACTTGGTGAAAGAGAGTTGAAAAGGAAGGTAAAAAATATAAAGTTATGAAAGTTACGTAAAATGTTGCTAAATAATAATGTCAATAAATAATTGAGTAATTTTAATCAAAATGTATCGCAACATTGTTTTGTAGCATTTGATGGAACAGCAGAATCGAAAAGGAGCTTCCAATAAATTCAAATAAATTTAGTTGCGCCGTGTACACCAAAGAACCAAATTGAGATGGTCACTCTGCACACTGATTTTGTCCTTGCGTATATGTCGCTGAACATTTTTCTTAAAAAAATAATCGCCGTAAAAAGAGAAAATAAAGTGAGAAGCATTTAATCACAACAATTTAGTTGCGCCCCGGTTTATTCTCAATTTATAAACACAACAATTTAGTTGCGCCCCGGTTTATTCTCAATTTATACGCAACAATTTAGTTGCGCCCCGGTTCATTTTCAATTTATACGCAACTATTTAGTTGTGCCCCGATTTATTCTCAATTTATACGCAACAAGAATTGCAAGATCAAATCTATAATCAATTGAATACTTTAAAGCCGCGGCCGTCTATTTATGATCCAGATTTTATCGCAGCCAATCAGTCGGAAAGAGTGGATAATATTATCAAAGGTACGAAGTATGAACAGTTTGAGAAAATATGTCAAGAAATAAGCGATTTCAAGCAGCAAAACAACTTGGACATTATCGTTGTATTGTGGACTGCTAACGCGGAAAGAGTTTGCGATGTTAAGCCCGGCTTAAATACGACCATGCATGAATTGGAAGCATTTTTGAAAGCTAACAAAGCTGAAATACCACCATCCACTGTTTTTGCCATTGCCAGCATAAACGAAGGCGTAAGTTCTCTTTATATATGCAATATATATATGAAATATATACAATACATATATATATATACATCTTTTTTCCTCAACTATTTAGTGCACATATATTAATGGATCACCACAGAATACCTTTGTTCCCGGTCTTATAGAACTAGCTGAACACAAGGATGTCTTTATAGCGGGCGATGATTTTAAATCCGGCCAAACAAAACTTAAATCTGTATTGGTTGACTTTCTAGTTGGCGCAGGCATAAAACCAGTATCTATTGTCAGTTACAATCATTTGGGAAACAATGATGGCAAAAATCTTTCTGCTCCTCACCAATTCCGTTCAAAGGAGGTAATCTTGCTTTGATAAATCGAAAACGTTCGATTAATTGGTATACGTGTATATACACATTTTTTTCAAATTTCGAAAAGTAATGTAGTAGACGACATGGTAGAATCCAATAAAATTTTATACGAAGCTAATGAACATCCCGGTCACGTGGTGGTCATCAAATATGTTCCCTATGTCGGAGATAGCAAGCGTGCCATGGATGAATATATTTCTGAAATTATGATGGGCGGTCATAATACTTTGGTCATAATTGTGACGATTCTTTGTTGGCGTCACCGTTGATTTTGGATTTAGTAATTTTAGGTGGAAAAGGGCTGTGTGGGTAAACTACTTTTAAAGTACTACCTATCTTTTGTAGTAATTGTGCGTGCTAATAGAAAGGTTTCATTTTCGAGTTTTCGCTTTACATATGTAGAATAACTATGAGTCATATGAAGGCTTCCAAAAATATATGAAGAATAATTATACAATGAACCACAAATTGTACATTATTATTATATTATTATTATTATTCTGCACTATACAACAAAGCGTCGTTTGTAAAAGTTTTAGCTAGTGCACCAAATGTATACAAATTTCTATTACCACCCTCCGGAGTTTTTTAAAGCGAGAATCTGTTGGCATTCAACATTCTTTTTCTTTGTATCCCTGATCCGCCCAAAAATGAAAAAAAGAATAATGAAACAAATGCAAATAAAATGTTAGAATAATTTTTGTAAACTTAGTTTTTTTACTTATAACTGATTAAAATTTTTTGGTAATCGTATGCCTCAGAATACGTGTAAGCATTTTGTGGAGCGCACTCGGAGAGCAATGTAACTCATTATTTCCAATTTTTGTTTGAATGCTTTTGTTAAAAATGCATATTATTTCACTTCATCTCTTTTTATTAAAATTTTTTTTGTAATTTGACCTTATATACGTTTGTGCGATTTTGGTTTTTAGAATTTTATTTGTCTTTGGGATATTTTTTTGTGATGGTGCGTATCTTTTAGGTAGATGGTTAATAACGCCGAATAGAAGTGTACAGCTATTAAGAGGTAAATTTGAATATGTTGAAACGAAGGATGCCGTTTGAGAGGTGGCGGGATTGCGATCTATTTCAAACAGAGTTTCAAAAGAGTAATTTTATTAAAATTTAAAGGAAAGTGTTTTCTTGAGATGAGTTATCTATGTTGTACAAAAACACCCCTTAAGTACTCGTGTGCAAAACGCTGAAGTGGTGCAATATTATCTTGGACTAATGTTGAATAATATGATGTTTGCCTCTAAATGTGTACAACCTGCGTCTCTGAAAAGGGCACTGATTACGTGTCTTTTGTTGAGTTCTCTTCTCTCCGACGACGAAAGAACTTAATATCTTTTTTTGCATTATGTATTTATTTTCAAAGAATAAAGGGATAACAGGGACAAGCTTGACGATTATTATTTATAACATTATGTAAAAAACGACAATATCATAGAGAAATACATAAACGACAAACTGTACAAAATAAACAAACACAAAATAAAATAAATAAATGAAATTATAACTATTTTCAACAAACCAACAGAATATGGGCCAAAGACCGAAGCAGGGGGATCTGAAAGATACTACGAGAGCATCGCCGCTCTTATAAAAATATTAAAAATAATACATTGAACGAGTATTGAAAAGAACTAGTATTGAAAATAACCTGTCAAGCCCATCCCGACGCTAATTGTATAAATTTAAACCAAATTCCTTACAAGACTGCGTTGCTTTTAAGTTATGTTTCTATAATTACATCCTCTAGAAGGTAATTTGCATATGCCATATATACTTGATGCTTATTTATTGTGATAAAAAAAAAAGCATTTTCGAAAATATTTTAAACAGAAAAGTGGAGAGAAAATTATATATATATATTTTTTTTTATCAATTGTATATAGTACGTACTGTAGTAACAACAATAAAATTATAAAACAATACAGTAATAATGCTGATACAATAATACTGATCAAACGCAATAAAACAAACTATGCAAGAAATATAATAATAAATAAAAAACCCAAAAACTAATGTCTATCCACTTAAAAATAATTCAGTATTTCGACACACTGCACTCTAAGCTAAAAGAGCATTTTTGCGAAATGAAATCTTCTTTTGTTGTTTAGAATTAGATGAATCATTATTCATACATTTTATATAAGATTCAGTGCATAAGGCAGATTCTTTTCTTCAATGAAGGGAATAGTCGTTCGTTATTCAACGAATTAATTACGCGTGAAAGCGCTTGTTTTAATTCATTAACTACCGTTGGCTTGGTCATGTGTGTAACTAAGAGAGTGTGCTCCGACTTTAGAAACCTCGCTTGTTTCCAAAATATAAATAATACGATTTTATATGAGAGAAAAGATTAATTTTCCCCTTCATTTTGATAGCTGAAAACGATTTAAATTCGCTCATTTAGACGCCAAGTCTAACTGCACTGATTTTGTCTTTGTAATTACTCTGTGTTCTATTAAAGCAGTTAAATACTTCAGTCAGCAGGAACAGATGGGGAAGAAGTATTTACTAAACATCCAGATAACATGTACAAACGGTCGCACCAGCTTACATATACGTAAACTTATGAGAACTTATGAGAAACGGTAGCAATTTACAGATAATCAAAAGATTACAGTGAATCTTCGGTAGCTGCGAAACACAAATGAAGTACCAAGCTCCCTACAAAGCTACATTATTGGATTTGCTTTTCCATTGAAGAACATTTCGTCAGCCCAGGAAGCATTTTGTCTAAAATTTACGTATTGATCAATGTCACTTCATTATTTGTTATCACTTAACAATATTTTACCTTACCTTTCACAAATATCATCTTGTTTGTTTTGTTTCCCATTGTACGTGAAATAGTTTTACTTAAATTTTTTAATTTCCTTAAACATTTTTGCCGTTAATTTACCAAATTACTCAAATATTAAAAAATTTAATTTTTATTCATAACGTTATTCTTATTATTTATTTTATTTATTTTACTTATTTTATTTATTTTATTTATTCCACTTATACTAGAAACTCAACCAAACAAATAACAGCCGAGTTGAATTGGCTCTTAATGCAAAACTTATATTAATTAACAATAAAATTGAGTATAAGCAAACAAAACAAATAAGAAGAAAAAAAAAAAGAAAAAAGAAAAAAAGCATGTACACTATCAGCATAGGAGCACACTTACAACCGGTACAGGACCAAATTGCAAATGAACCCCTAAGCCATCGCAAACATGCATAAGCCTGGCAACCGATAATAAATTGACAATAATTCACTTTCGAAACGTAACGACTTTTTAAGGATAAAAGCTAGTTTAAATACGACATAGGT